TAAATTTATTGAATAATTGGAATGGAATCTTTTATATATATCATCGACGCGTAACAAATAAACGATAAAGTTCAGATCAGAATAAGATCGGCGAGAATTTTATCGATGAAGGTATCATCCGAGGTGCAGTGATGCGATACATTCGATACAATCGAATTTTTCACCCAATCACCTTTCATAAATCAACTTGGTCTTAAATGAAGCGTTGCAAACACAAGCAAAATATCGAATATCTCCCGCGATTCCGATTCCGTTCGTATCTCGTTGAATTATCTTTATTCTTCGGTTGGCGTAATCTACGCATCTGTCGAGCTGCAGCCAACAACTTTCGACGCGCTATGCATTTATTTATCTCTTCCCGCGCCATTGTTCGAAATCACTTGTTGTCTTAAAATCTCGCTGATAAATCGTGTAATTTATCATAGATAAATAATTATATTTTGCCAGAAATGAATTTTTATCCAACGTTTTTCTTTTTTTAAACAATGATTATTAAATTTCTACGCCTCGATTTCTACGAAGAAAAAATTTTTTTTTCCCAATTTTAATTAAACGAAAAATATTATAAAACGTGATTGCGTAATTCAATATTATTAAATAACATTGAAAGAAGAAGATAAATTCTTGAAAGTTTAAATTCTAGGAAAGAAATATCAAGTTGCAACAATAGATTTATTCGAATTAACAAATCAAAATTAATTAAATCTGATCGCAATACGTAAGAAAATATATATATATCTACTGAACGATCGAAAGGTATTAAATTTCGTTTCATCTGAAAAAAAAAAAACAATAGAATAGAATCTCAAAAAATAATTCAAAAAGAAAAAATTTGAAGAACTGGAGGCAGGTGCTCGAGGTGCTAATTTGACGTTAACAGGGTCGACACGATTCGACACATTGATTTATCGCGATGTACAAGGACACCACTTTGAATAACGCGAATCTCGATGTGGTTAAACAAGCCAATGGTAATGGCCCAGACATTTTGGCGCCGATGATACGAGCTGTTGTACAAACTCGTCTACCGACAAACAACTACCGCGCCAAGTCTGATCCATACAACACCGCTTCCGGTTTTGCTGACGAGCAATTCCAAGTTGCCTAGTTTACGTAACCTCCAACTTCTGCATTTCCTTTTCTCTTTCCTTTTTTTTTCCCCCCTTTATCCTCGTTAAATTCTCAGTCGATTTTACGTTGCTTCAATAACATTTCTGATAGATGAAAGATTTCACGAAATTTTTCAAGATGGAACGATCGATTCCATTCTTTCTTTTGTTTTTTTCTTATTCTCGTTAAATTCTCAGTCGATCGAAGAATATTTTTGATATTTAGATGAAAGATTTTCAGGAAATTTTTCAAGATGGAATGATCGATTCCATTCTTCCTTTTGTTTTTTCCCTTATTCTCGTTAAATTCTCAGTCGATTTTACGTCGATCGAAGAATATTTTTGATATTTAGATGAAAGATTTTCACGAAATTTTTCAAGATGGAACGATCGATTCCATTCTTCCTTTTTTTTTTCTCTCTCTTTCTCTCTCTCCTTATTTTCGTTAAATTCTCAGTCGATTTTACGTCGATCGAAGAATATTTTTGATAGATGAAAGATTTCCAAAAAATTTTTCAAGATGGATCAGACGATCGATTCCATTTTTCCTTTTTTCCCCTTATTCCCGTTAAATTCTCAGTCGATTTTACGTCGATCGAAGAATATTTTTGATAGATGAAAGATTTCCAAAAAATTTTTCAAGATGGATCAGACGATCGATTCCATTTTTCCTTTTTTCCCCTTATTCTCGTTAAATTCTCAGTCGATTTTACGTCGATCGAAGAATATTTTTGATAAATGAAAGATTTTCAAAAAATTTTTCAAGATGGAACGATCGATTTCATTCTTCCTTTTTTTTCTCTCTCTCTCTCTCTCTCCTTATTTTCGTTAAATTCTCAATCGATTTTACGTCGATCGAAGAATATTTTTGATAGATGAAAGATTTCCAAAAAATTTTTCAAGATGGAACGATCGATTTCATTCTTCCTTTTTTTTCTCTCTCTCTCTCTCTCTCCTTATTTTCGTTAAATTCTCAATCGATTTTACGTCGATCGAAGAATATTTTTGATAGATGAAAGATTTCCAAAAAATTTTTCAAGATGGAACGATTCCATTCCTCCTTTTTTAACTTTCTCTCTCTCTCTATCGATCGATCGATCGATTTCTACACGATGATGTGTACATCGATTTGAACGAACTTTCGTGGACAAAATTTTGCATCAGAAGTCACACATGGTTGGGCCATGTGGGTTTGGGCGGTAAGTTGGATCGACAGGCGCATTGTCAGTGCGATTAATCGAACGATAAGTTGGACCCGTACACCGAGGAGAGTGATTGACGCCACCACGATAAGGCTTGATGGGTGAGAGAGAGAGGGATGGACCAATCGGGAAAATAGTAGAGACGGAAGGAGCGAACAAAAAGCGAAGGAAAAAGGGATACTCGCAGTGGGGTTCTTAGCCTTGTCCCTGAAGGAAACAGCTCGGTGTATAACCTCTTTTTTCCTCCCCCTCTCTCGCCCTCCTTTTCCTCCTCTTCCTTATCCCCTTTCGCTAACAGAATAAACCGTATCCACCCTCCTGTCCGTGTTTCACAATTGTTTCAGGCCACCTTGCGGCTCCTTTAAACGTGTTTCGATAGCGAAACCTCATCGCTTTTACTTGCTTATTTCTCGGAATTTTCGTTTCCATTTTCATCCTTTGGATTTTCTTTTTTTTTAATTATTTCGACAATTTAATATTTTCTTAAATCTAGATAAATTAGATTTAAAGAAATTATTTTGAAATTTTATACTTAATATTTTGCGATTGCAAGATTCGTTATTTTCTTTTTTTTTTTTTAACGATGATGTAGATAATGTATTGTTTTAATGGAAAATTGTAGGATTCGTTTTCTGGTTCGAGTTGGAAGATTTGTAGCTTGTAATAATTCGGAGATGATCGAATTGTCGTGACACGAGGAAGAGATAAAACAGGCTTTACCGCGTTCGCGAATAATATTATACCGGTTCACGCTTCAATCTTCTCCACTTCCCTGCAACTAATTCATTTTTGGCCCTTTGGAAGGGTGAATCACCCTTGTGATCGTGACATTTCCTTGGCTTTCATTTAAATTGCTCAACCAAATAGCAGAAAACGAAGTTATTAATAATTTTAATAAATCGTGATAAATGCACATCGACTCAATAAATAAATAAATATAACAAATTGATTTTTTAAA